TCCGGGTAGCGACCGAAACATTTTCGTCTCTAAATTTGTCTCCTTTCACCTCCTTCTCTGCTGTCTAGCAATGTTCTGGCCTCATTTTTCGTCACCCCTTCCGGCCCCACCCCCTCACCTCCTTTGGCCCCTCCTGCGGACTCCTGACTCTTTCTGCAGCCTTTCTACTGCTACTCCTTGGCTCCTTTTTACTGCTGTTTTTAAGCCACACCCCTGATCTTCTGGAAGGAAAGATCAACACCTAGCCTTCTTATACAAGGGCGAAAAATCTCGGAGGCCCGTGTTCAAGTTGCGCACGTTAAAGATCCCTTGGTGATCTAAAATCGATAAGAGTTGGCTTCGGCCGCCACCCGGGCAAAATTCAAAATTTCCTACCGTCTAAAAATGTTTAATGTGTCCCGCGCGCTCATATGACCTTATGAAGTTGCAAGCGCCGTAAAACACTTACCAAAAATATATATTAATCAGCATGAAACTAACTAGATTTTTTTGTGTACACAAAACAACAAGACAAAACCAAGCGATCTATGGAGAAGTGGGCGACGAGAAAAACAATATAATCAGAATGTGACTTCTTGGGCATGGTTTCTATCAACTAGCTTGGGAATTTGGATCCGTGGAGAGTCATTTATTTTCTAGTCTGGCATATCGTGACACGGAAACTATTTTTAACAGTTGAGTTTGCCCTTAAACCCGAGACGAAAGAGACAAAGGTCTAATGAATTGAAAATCACTCGCATGCCCAGTTCCGTGTTGTGTCAATGGTGTCTGCTTCCTTGGCAAGCGTTCCAAATTCGTTCATTAATAATAATAAATGACAGTTATATAGCGCTCAACCCCTATTAAAGTAGTGGCGTCGGTAGCCTAGTGGTTAGGCTACCGGACTTGCAATCGTGAGATTGCGGGTTCAGGGGTTCGAGCCTCAGCTCGGTCCGACGTTGTGTCCTTGGGAAAGGCACTTTACACGAACTTCCCACTTGGCTGGGTCCTATCGGAGACGGACGTTAAACTAGGAGGTCCCGCCCCTTAAATAACCTAATAGTGTTGATAGGGGCGTTAAACCAATACCATTTCACCATTTCACCCCTATTAAAGTACACAGGTTCTGAGCGCTTCAAATTCAACTTGGCCAACCAAAGCAGCTCTGATCTCTCTGCAGTTTCGTCTCACAGGAATTGTTCGTCAAAGTACATGTACAAAGCTTTATTCTCTTTAGTGTTGCTACTTTTTAAACATAGCAGAAGTCTCGTTAAATACAGAGACTCTGCCGTACTATCAGCAAGACATGAAGGAAACATACCGTGTGTCTCACTTGTAATTCAAAGCAAGTACATTCAAGGACAAGATGAAAAATGTTAGTTCGAAAGCTTCGTGTATGGCCAATGTAGCTATAGTACAAATAGATTTTCAATATTTCAGACAAAAAACAAAAACAAACAATAAGTAACAGTAATTGTGAACACTGAAATGCTTATTGGAATACTCCAAGACGTTATTAGGCATTCTTTGCAGAAAACCTTGATCAGGGACATTTTATCTAAATAGACATTGAAGAATTAAGAAACAAAAGATTATATAAAACTATTGACTGTTCTTCTTGTTCGGAGATTCACACCTTAGAAAAATAAGCTTTTTCAGACAACGAAAGCAGGAAATGAATAAATTCTCAAGCAAGATGCAACTTGTAAACAACTAGCAGCAGCTCATTTTTTTAAAAAGCGAAGATTCACTTATCTTTACAGACAGTTTGCAGAGCATCTAAAATGACATCATTTTTTAAACACTTATTTGCTTCCACAAATTATGGTACAGTTTGACAAGTGTACTTTTGAGGAAAGCCAAGAGAAACATTATGAGAGTACCTAATACGTATTTGTGTGGCAGCGTGGTGGAATCAGGCTCTCGTCAATTTTTGGGCATGTAGAGTTATTGATATCATCTTAAAGCTTGTTCACTTGTCTTTATTTGGATGGAAAAAAATATCCATTTATCTTGAATACAAGTCGAGATATTTGCGAAAGAAGTAGGTGGGGGTCACCTGTTTTCAGAGGTAAAATTAGTGAGAAAATGGCCGCCAAAAATTAGTTTTTTCCTTAGCTTAAGAGTCCGTGGTAACCGAAAATTTACATTTTTTGTGCCTTTAATCAACGTTTTCAGAAAAATACACACAGAAATGAGTTATTTAATGGGTATGAAAGGTGTTGAGCCAAAAAACAAAAATTTTATAAAAATACACAAACCTTTTGAAAAACGCAAGTTTCTTCACTTTGATTATTTGGACGAGAGCCTGATTCCACCGCGCTGCCTCACATTTCTGGCTTTGTAACAGAAATGATAACTTTTCTGCTCTTTTTACTACATGGCCATGCTTGAGCTTTCAGTTTGGATTCTAAATAAATCATAAGGGAATTAGGATCAATTATATAAAATAAAAGGTTTTACCATTGACCAAACCTAGACAAGTTTAGGGGCAGGTCACTTCGGCCGTGTCTGTCAAGGCTAACAACCCGGGATGAATGGGATATAGCAGCCCATATAAAAGACGGAGATACTCGAAAGAATAGACTTTTTAATTCTGGAAGTGAACTCACCGTATTTTACTTGCAGCTTGGAACGAGGTTATTATGACACCACAGATGCCAGTCTGGATCAGCCAGTCGTGTCAGTCTGGGGCAGAAAAAAACAGATTGAAGAATAGACTCGTTCGATGTCCATGCACTCCTTGGGTTTAGAGCATGCTTTGTTTCTCTCGTACCTGAATACAGAATTCACCAGCGTTGTTAAACCGGCTCCTGATAGGTTCCTTCTTTGTTGTTTGTCTCAGAGATGAGACAGCCTTCCTCGATTTCTTTTTGCTTTACTCTCATTATCCTAAAAAAAAGGAGGAATTGCAGAAAGGTATAATAAGAGCTGAGCACTAAAATGCAGCTAGCATTGATGGGATACGTTTTAGTAATGGTCCACACCTCTGTGTCCATTCCCAATCCTGATTCCCTTCTACTGCCTGTGTTGTAGAATCCGGTAACTGTTGATAGGATATAACAATAATGTACCCCAGATCGACATTTCACAAGGTTTCGCGTTCTACCGCAGATGCTTCTGAAAGTTAGCATATTGTAGATTAAGATTAAGTCATTCAAGTTCTATAACAAACTTTAACACAGAAACTGGCGTGTTTGACATGATTAGAATTATTGTACTTTGGTGAATTTCACTGGCAATGCTTTGTTAGAAAAGTGCTGAAGCATCAAACCTGGGCTTTTAGGAATAATTCTGGAACGTTTGTTAGCGATGTCTCACTAAAATAGATTTATGCTCATGGGGTGTATTTTGGCAAGATATTTGTGACGTGTAAAACCAACAGCTGCTTTGTAATTAAATGTTCATTACTCTGGACTTTACAAGGCTACGAAAATGCAATATATCACCGTGTCCAGTGACGCGTGGAGTCATCGTTCTATCTTTGTGATCGTCTTTACAGTTTCCTTTCATGCGTGGCCAGTCTCCACCTTGGGTATATCTTGCATAGGGAACACCCCGGGTCTTATGTACTTCCCCCAGTGGAAGGGCACGATGGAACCTTGCGTGATGCACACAAATCGTGATACATTACACAGGTGTACCAAAGATTGCCTATTGAATTTTTGCTCGGGGTTCAGCTTTGACAGCACCACGAGCGTCTGTCAAATTTGCCCATCGGCCAACCTCTCTAGTCTGACTTACAACCCACATCAGCCTTTAGAGATGAGTCACTTTAGACTTCTTCGACATCGTTTCATTGATCATCCCATTGGGGAAGTGTTTGTGGAGGGAGGATTGAGTGTTGGACAAATTCTGTACTTTCGTGGAAAACCCACAGCCAACACTAAATTTGGTATCATGCTGAGGGAAAGTGAGAACGATGTACATTTCAAGGTAGCCCCGAAATTTTCTCACGACATATCACCGCTCTCTGTTTTTACAAGCCACAGACTAAATGGACAATGGAAAGTTAAAAACCAAAGCAAGAACAACAATAATTATTTCCCCTTTAAAGTAAATGTCGAGTTCGAGATAGTTATTCTTGTGACGTCATCTGCTTTCTTGGTGTACATCAACGAAGGTTTTTGTTGCGAAGGGGAAGCCACTCAGTTGGATCTTAGCACCGCGCAGAATATTGCATTTGAGTATGACGTTGTGATATCTGAAATGAGTTATTGACCATGAGTGTGACGTTGTGATATCGGAGATGAGTTATTGACCATGAGTGTGACGTTGTGATATCGGAGATGAGTTATTGACCATGAGTGTGACGTTGTGATATCGGAGATGAGTTATTAACCATGGATTGAGGTTCTCCGCCTGGCTGTTCTGATTCTTTTATATTGTCAGATCACACCCCCCCCCCCACACACACACACACATGCACACACACACACACACACACACACACACACACACACACACACACACACACACACACACACACACACACACACACACATACATACACAAACACACCATTCGTGCGCGAACTATTACTTTTTTTTCTTCCGTTTTCTCCCCCCCCCCTCCCCAATGAGTGTTTTTAGACACTAGCCGATGAATTTTGAATTTGTCTACACTTGTACATTAAATTGTTCCTATTTGTTGGGCTTCCGAGCCATAGAAACTCACGCCTCACGTCTCACGCTCATGCCTCACGCCTAAACGAGTGTGTGGAAAAATGAACTGACGTAATCGTACGTAAGTTTGTGATGAGCCAAAGACCTCCGCTCACGCCTCACACTTCACAGATCACGGCTCACGCTTCACAGGTCACGCCTCACACTTCACAGGTCACGGCTCACACTTCACAGGTCACGGCTCACGCGTGAGCCTAGAAGTAAACACGTTCACTTTTTTCGAGGCGTGAGTCGGGGCAGAGAGGATATCAGAGCGTTTCCCCCCCCCCCTCTCAAGAGCTGGACGCGGGCCAGATTCCTTTGTCAATAGTGTGCAAGTTTTATTTTCTCGTCAGGATGGATGGTTACAAAGAAAGATTAATTGAAGTAGTCCTTGCAAGGTCTCTGCTCTGGGACCCACAAGATCCTGACTACAAAGACAAAGATCAAAAGGCACAAGTTTGGGAAAACCTTTTCAAGATGCTGACTATAAAAGAGCTCTTCATCAGGATTGTCCATGAGATGTTGGAATGTACGGTGAAATTCTCCTCTGGATTCTCTAAGCAAAAAATACTCTCGGCACCATAATATTATTATGCTCCGTCGCTTCCACTTTCCTCTTCTGAGGAACAACAAAACCAGCAAATCTTCTTCGTCAGATGATTCCATCTTGAATGCACCACACAGACTGGTGTGTGAGGCGTAAAGCATGAACCCTTATGGCCCAGTAGTGGGCCGTGAGGCATGAGGCGTGAGACGTGAGGCTTGAGGAATGAGGCATGAGGTGTGAGACGTGAGGCCTGAGTTTCTATGGCCCGGAAGCCGTATATACACTTACTACAGTGGCCGGTTGTAGCAATGCCGAGATATTGTTAATTACTAAAAGATTCCGTTTTCTGAATGACAGTATAATATATTTAGATAAGACTGAAAGTTGAGTAACGAAAGTTGTTGCTGTAGCACTATTTTTTGTGTGTGCTATTTTATGGAATAAAAGATGATGAATTTTACAGCAGTTTTTCACAGGTTGGTTAGTTATGAAATCGAAAGTGTTCTGTCTCCGCAAAATATATCTCCTTTTCTATCATTACGTATACAACTTAATTCTACTTCAAAGTCGATTTAGAAAATACCCAGATCTTATAAATGTACAACGTTCACGTTGCGACTCAAACTGCCAAGTCACCTTTCATTCCTATCGTCACACAAGATGCAAGTTTCTTTCTTCTCTTCCTATCTTTTGTTTTTCTCAGTTAACTTTATTAGTTAATTTGAGTCGTCATGTGGACTAGAAAACATTTAAGCACTTCTTCTGGTCCATCTAAGTGTTCAGAGCTTAACCCTATCCGTACGCCCTGGGGTCATTTTGTACCCCCGCAGTTGTATTCTTCACATTTTAGAATACTTTTAGTACGAAGATCTCTATGAAACTTTCAGTATTTCTCAAGGAAATCATTTTGACAGACTGCTATGCAAAGTGTACGATCGCATAAACGAGTAAATTTCGTCTTTGGAAAAAGGACGCTCAGAGTTTCCCACGTCGTATGGATACGATAGTAAAACACGACGTACGCATAGGGTTAAACCTAATGAACCGCCGTATATCACGATAGAAAAATAAGCTATAATACGCGGAAACGTTGGCTGTCATGCTTTTCATTTTCTGTTCTTCTCAAAAGGTCAAAAATGGACATGGCTTTTTTCCTTCTTGTGCACATCCCTTTATCTACATCTGCTTAAACTGAATAGAGCAATTTAGGGACATCAAACAAAGATACCGATCGAATATGAATTTGAGTGCGAAGCAAAGTGCTTGATTAAGATGTTCAAAGCCAAAGTAAACTCTTGTTTTACATCTTGTTGGTACTTTGGCTCCAACTACTTTCCAATCCATTGACCTTGACCGTACCAAGGTTTCCTCCAAGTTCTCGTAGTTAGTCTGAAAATCATGGTCAGTTTCACCATGGGATGTGATAAAGGTAATAATAATCATGTTCGTCAAGAAGTAAGTACGCCAGCTAAATCTGGAGCAATAGAAAAGTTGGCCGAGTGTTATTCAAAGCAGAAATTCCACGATTAACTGATACATTTTAATGTCACAACAATGTCAGGGCAGGACTCCTGATCTAAAACAAAAACTAGCATTTTGTTCGCTGCTAGATAAGATAAAATAAGATCAGATATATCTTTACTGTCCATTGGTTTGGTGTTTCACCACGTGCAAACATACACACATAGACACACACACGCGCGCGCACGCACACACACACACACACACACACACACACCCACACCCACACACACACACACACACACACACACACACACACACACACACACACACACACAAACACACACACACACAGCGCGTGCACTCACATACATACACACATACACACACAAACATACAAACATGCACCCACACACAAGTTTACAATCACATGCATAATATAAATGGACAGTTGTAATCTTATGCTAAATACATACTCAGTTTTCTGACTGTAACTCAATGTTATTCAGATAAATGCTCTAAGGTCGTAAGAATTCTTTTAACATAATTGTTAAGATGGAAGAATTTTGATGGATGATGGTAAAAATAGCTTTCTGTATCTTTCTTTGTTACAGATCAGTAGCCTAGGTCTTTTACTTTGGACTGATATTTTTTATTTGAGGGAACAAGGGATGTTTATTGTCCAAAAAGATGGGATTACTTTTTAGTGCAAGCTGTAATGTACAATTCATCCAAGTAGGGGAATAATACGTTTTGGAGAAACTGAATATCTGATCTTGCTCGTGCATGCTGCTATTTTTTTTTAGTTCATCCAGATCAATAAATGGCCTCAGTAAAAGATATACGAGATCTTTTAAGCGGACAGGCAAGCATTCAACGCATAAACTTGAGCTAAAGTATGAATTCTGAAGTTAGACAGCTGATATCAAGGAATAACACTATACAGGCTGCTGCTGTTTCGCCCTGCACTATCTCTATCTACCCATGTACCCAGTATTGTTTCCCATTCTGGGCAGGTCTTGAACTTCAACTTCAAGGTAGAATCTCGCTTCACTTAACAAAGAAGCATTTATCCTCAAATATTTATTAAGTTTCGCCTGTGAAAAGGCGGTTGGCTTTCATTTCGGCTGCTCGACTCCTTGTTCTAAGTAATATTATTGGATTCGTTGACAACAATTTTCAACCGCTCTCGTATTTCTGGTCTGTTTATTTTGCATGGCTTACATATTTTAGTTTGCATGCTGATGTGGGTGTATTTCACGGTATGGTTTTTAAGGTCAGACGAGCGTGTGTCCTCAAAGTACCCTTAAACCTTCCGGCATTAAACCTTCTAGGCTGACTCTGGACTACATAATTGATTTACGTCTTCATTTATCTGTTTCGCTTCAACAGTCTTACAAAGTTTTTAAAGTTTTGAGATCCTTAGCTTTGATTCAGATGTTGCTGTTGTTACTGTTGTTTTTGCTCTTATTGTTGTTGTTGTTGTTATTGTTGTTGTTGTTGCTCATGTGTGTGTGTGTATGTGTGGGTGTATGTGTGTGTGTGTGTGTGTGTGTGTGTGTGTGTGTGTGTGTGTGTGTGTGTGTGTGAATGAAAAACGTTTCTCGCCGGCGTCATCGCCTTCTTGAGCGAACATCTCCCACCAAAAAAGACCATGTCTAGATAGAGCATTCGGACCAAAAGTTTCAGGAAGGATGGATGAGGCTGTGTTGTTGGCGTCAGTGCTCTGCGGGTTTTCATTTTGGAGAGAGCAGATCTGAGTTCAGTGATTGTGACGTCGGTCTGAGCCTCTCCTGGGGATTTCTGAGTTGTTGTCGTTGGTGGTGGTGGTGGTGTTATTGTTTATGTTGTTGTTGATGATGATATTGTAGTTGTTATTGTTTTTCCTGTTGTTGCTGCTGCTGCTG